GTAAGGACTGGACTCAGGGACTCATGCTCCGGCAAGCTCTTGGTAAGATCCTTGATGCCAATCCAGATTCTATTTAGATCAACTACCCAATCACTTGAGTTGGGCAAAAAGCCTCAAAGAGCAAACCTTCATCAGAGGACATCAACTCCCTTCTCCCAATTTCTTACTTCATGCAGTGACACATGAGTTCATACAATGACAGAGTAAGGCAGAGACAGGCAGACCAAGCCACAAAAGGACTATGTAAACTGTCACTGTTTATTTTGAAGCAAGTCTGCTGGTGATCTGTTTCTATAACATATCTCTTCATCTCCACATCTATAGCCATTCATGAGGCAGCCAACGCTCGTAGGAATAAGCCCTGATAGGTCACAAGGCCTGGGAAACTTCCACGGGAGAAGGAGCTCAGAAACAGAGATATGAGCCATCTAACACTGACCCCATTTCTGTAGACTGTAAAAACAATAGCAGCTGGGAAGATGGCTCAGTAGCTAAGAGCACCACTGGATACTCTTCCAGGGGACCTGGGTTTCAATCCTAGCACTCACATAGCTGTTCACAACTATATGTAACTCCAGTGTCAAGGGATTTCATGCCTTCTTCCGACCTCCATGGGCACCAGGCATGCACATGGTACAAAGATTTTATATATATATAAAATATGCAAAATACCCATATACTATATATAAAATAAATAATTTCATACACACATTCACACACATATGCACATACATGGCATTTCTGGGACCTATATACACCATATTAATTACTTGTGATACTTTTCTATCTCTGTGGTATATAGTGCCACCAACCACTAAACCAAGATGTACTTATTTCATGTGCAGGAGGAAAGTGGAGACTCAAGAGCTTCATGACAGTCAGCTGCCAGTGCCACAAGTGGGCAGAGTTAAGCAAGACCATGAGCACAATCAGAGCCAGGGAGGAGAGCAGGGCTTCTAAAGAGCATGCCAGGGTTGGAGAAGGGCTTGGGAATACGACCGCATTGTGGTCAGGGCTTCAT